TGTGCTGTGTGTTAAAGTACCTAACTTCTTTCTACCCTCCTCTGTTTTCATATGAAAATAATCTTAGAGACCGAGTAGCCTGTTTCTCCTGTTCTTTGCACCTATGCTAAACTTAATTTCATAGGARAAACTTTCGGGCCTGACTAGAACACATTAAGTGGTTTTCATATATATGAAGCTGTCGTTATTTTTTTCCCCCCAAGGTTGTAATGGTCAGAGTGTTTTAGTGAAAGTTGCATCAGAACTTGTTTTGAACCGTAGAGAAGGTGCAGATTATCCAAGCTGGATTTTCAGAGATGAGTTGATGAATAAGGGGAGGAGGAGCAGAAATCTCCCAGTTGGACCAAGTGCACAAAAGGTTCCGCTGTTCAGGACGGCTTCGTGGTGCTCGTGTCTGAATTCTGCAGGACTCGTTGGGGACTGTGTCTTTCGCTGTGCTCTCTGTGATCTCTTAATCCCTCTGTTTGTTGCAACAAGGCTATGGGATTGCCTTTAAAACTYTTCTAATGCTGCCAGGCTGCGCTAAAGTGTAATCTAATTTTGCCTTTTACGTTTTAACCAGTTGCCTGCAGAAACAAGAAGAAAGCTGTTTTTTCTTAGAAGCAGGCCYGAGGCTTCTTGTTTTCTGTTTTCCTCAGAAACTGGCCCCAGATGGTGTTGGGGCACTGGATCAGCCCTGGATCAGTCTTCTGAGGTAGAAAGGAAGTCAGRTTTCCCATGTGCTGACCTTGCTTTACTCAAGAGGCTTTTCCTAAAGATATTCTCCCTTTCAAGCCAATTATCCTGTTTAGGGACGCATGTTTTCTCTGGAAGCCGCACTGGCAGGTGCTTCATTATTTTATTTATTTTTTTCTACATCTTCTTCCTGTGCCTAGAGCCCAGATTACACACTTAATTGGGACATATTTCATCAAATCACCGTCTTACCCTTGTGGCGTTGTCATTGGAGAGCAGCTTATTTTGTTTTATCAGATTATTGAAGCTTGCAAAAGCTTGGTTGCTTGCAGACTGAAGTGCTGTGATTGAAGTTTCATCCAGGTACATGTGCACTTGCCCTGATCATCTGGTAGGTTTTGCTGGCTTTTAGCTTTGAAATAAAAMTTCTGCATTATTATAAATGCATAGATTGTAAATTATGTGCTTCATCATCTCCACTTATGCTTCTGCTTCTTTATTACTATGAGATTTTTTGCTTTCTTAAAATTTCCATGTTGTTAAGTGTGTGCTACTTGGCTATCTTTTAAAAGATAAATGTTGATTTATCTTTTTGTTTCCTATTGCATTGGGAACAAAGATTTTGTCTTTTGGATTCGCATATCATAGAAGAAGTAACAATTTAGAATATTTAAAAAATCCTTTAACTGCTCTACTAAAGTATTTAAGTACGTGAAGTTATTTGACTACTTATTTCTTATATCTTTAGTTTTCCTTTAGAAAAATGCATTTATTTCTAATTTTTTTTCCTCTGAAACTTCTCTTATGTTGCATTCATAGCTTTGCTGATTCTGGTTTTACTCACGAAGTATTTAGCTTTCTTTTTTTTCCCTCCCTCCTGGCTTCCTCTGTTGATCCTTTTCTTTCTCCGAGCTGGGACCCATTTGTTTCTTGCTCTGCAGTGTGTCTGAATTGTCTGCRCTCTCTGTTGCACTGGAAGGCCCAAAGGAGATCAAGAGCTGTAGCTTGGGCATCCAAACAGAAGCAAATCAGAAGACCAAAGTCTTGAAAGCTTTGTACTTTTTCWGGCCACCTGCCCTGTGACAGTGCACGATTTGTGACAATTCCTTTTTGGGCTTAGTTGTTGAAGTTTTGGGACATCTAGAAAAGCGGCAGCCACAGGGTTCTACCGTCTTGCGGATTTGCGAGAGCAGAGAGTGGGGTTATATTGCAAGGAGGGCTGCGGGCAGGCAGCTCGGCTGCCRTTGGGGCCTATGGATAACGTACTTAAATCTCTTTTTAGTGCTTATACAGGCCAAATGCTGCATTTATGGACTGTGCTACTGCTTAAATTTAACTTCTCAGTGCATAAAACTTCACAGCGTAGAAAAACTTCAAGTATGGCGAGAGGAAAGTGGCAGCTTTCTGCATCCAGCTTTGAAATTAGGATTTCCTTTATTATTGGTATCTTACAAGCTAAGTTCTGCAGTAAGTTGTTATATTCCACCCTGTCACTAGTGCTTAATTCTTGCTAAGTTTGAAATTTTTCTTGCTGGTTAAATAGATGTCTGTTGCTCCATAAGTATAAATTGGATATGCTTTAATCTGGATATTCTTTCCCGGCAGCCAGCAGATCTGCTTGAGAAAGTGTCAGTGTCTGGTTGCTGCTGTAAGTGCTCGCAGCAACAGGCGGGCAAGGTTATGTGGTGGAGTCTGTGTAGGGTCATGGATATATATATATATATATATGGTGGATATTGGTCTTGAGGCCTTTTTAGCCTCTACATAGAGGGTGAAGGCAGACCCTTCATAGAGGGTCCATTTGCCTGGGATGGAATTAGGATTTGATAATTTTGACACATTTTGTGTGTTTAATGGGTGCTCTGTGGTGTGGAGCTAAACAGTTATGTCCCTGTCTGGCCTGGAAAGCAGCGTGGTGTGTGACAGCTCAACGTTGGTGAAGGCTCCTCTCCTTTGGTGTCAGGAATTTTAGCCCACCATCCACATAAAGGATCATAGGGATACCCTTGAGTGAGGTTTATCCCAGTGGGAATAAGGACCTTCTGCAGCCTGGCAGATGTGAGGATCTTTCCCTCTTTTTAGTGTGAACTTTAGTACTTCCCTGCTGTACAGGGAACTGAAAGAGACTGAAGTGGAAATTAGAAGCATCTCTGTTATTTGTGCCCTGTAGTCACATGTTGATTGTGCGGAGAAAAGGAAGCCCCMTGCCCAGCAGATGAAATATTCTGCCGTCTTTATTCAGCTGTGGGCGGTATTTGATTTAGCTAGTGCTTGTAAAGCACTTTGAAAATTAAAATTATGATCTTTTTTATGGGCAAGCATCAGGTTGCATTGGTTTCTTCCATTCAGCTGCTTTTTACTATTAGCTGTGCTTCTTTAGACCGTTTTATGTGTCACTGTTCCTGAGTCTTCTCTGTGTTTCAATCAGTAGAATAGGAAAGAGAAGGGAAAGCAGAAATTTATAGTAAAACCATAAATCTCTTCAAGGAAAGCAGAAATTTATAGTATAGTATAAATCTGTTCAGGAAAGGCTCCAGAAATAGAGATTTGACTTTTGATTGACATTATTTTAAACATAAATTAACATACTCTGTTCCCATGCCAGTCTTTTCCTGTTATACTTCCGACACACAAGCCAGTGCTATTTCACTAAGCACAGAAAACTCTCACTCCATCCTGACATTAATGTCTTTCCTGCAGTAGCAGATGAGGTAGAAACTAGTGCTCTGTGTAGTGTGTTGGCCACACGAAGGCTTTAGTTGAGCAGAAATTGCTGGATTGAATCATTACCTAGTCCATTATGGTTTAATTAGTCTTGACACTTGATGAAGTAATGTGTAAAACCCTTCCTAGAAGTCTGTTCATGCATATATTTCTCCTTAATCCTTAGTCCAAACTTCATTTTTCATTTGGACGCTAATTTTGGCGGGGCTCTGCTGCAGTTGGTTGCAGCAGATTCCTTGTCCTGTCTCTCCAACAAGCTGCTTGCTGCTCAGTGCGAGCAGCTCCAGAGCAGCTGGTCCCTCCTGCGCGTTTGTGCGTCGAGGAACTTGGCCTTTGAGAGCTGTTACGTGCACAGCCCGTCGCTCACTTGTGATGATGGTTTGGAGCTTGTGTAGTTGGAAACTTCCTAATTCATTGGCCCAATTTCCACCATCCTTGATACTTCCTGCTGGTGTTGAGAAGCCACGGGAGATCACTCCAGCTAAAAATGATGGTGCTATTGAAACACAAACAACCCTCCTCCCTACCCCAATGTAGCAACTCTCCTGGTTGACCCAGCACCTACCTTTGTAGAATCGTAGGAGCCTGTAGGTCAGAGGAACTTCTGGAGGCCACCTGGTCCTGAGCTGCTTCTCAAGGCAGGGCCTCTTGGACAAGGTCACTTGGAATCCTGTCCCGTTGAGTTGTGAGTCTCTTCATGGTGGGGATTTCACCAGCTCTTTAAGCAACCTCCTGTATGTGCAGCCACCTTGAACTGAAAACGCTTCTTCTTTGGGTCTCATAGAACTTCTTGTGTTTGAACCTGTATTTGTTGCCTCTTGTTTCATCTCTGTGCCTCAGGGAAGGGTCTGACCCCTTTTTGTCCATACCTCCTTCCTAGGTAGCTGTAGAATTTGGGTGGACAGAAACATGTTGAGCAACTGGAGGATTTGACACCTTGTGTAACTTTTCTTTATGAAACACAGAATGGGCATTAATGTGACCAAAAAGGGCACTCATGTTTTAGGTCTTGCTTGTTTACTACTGTAGGATTTCTGTAGAGATAGCATGTCCTTCTCTAAAGTGTGTCAGGACGATGCTGTTCTTCCCGTGGATGGTGAAGGCTTTTGGAGGACTTGCAGAATATTAATTGGAGTTGGAAATTTTTAGAAATCCTTCATTTTGTAGGCATTCTGTAGGACCAGTAGTTGGATTACTTAGTGTATTCTGACCTGGAAAATAAAATGCTCTGTAAAGTTATCATATGTTAATATGCTTATATCAATGTAACATTTTGGACTGATATGGCCAGTGGTAACAAGGTAATGAAATTCTTCCTATACTTTTAATATAAGATTGCCTGTTCTGTTTCCTGGTATAAATATTGCAACAGCTGGAACAAGTTCAAAAGAAACCTTTGTAATAGAGTTCATAAAACCAACATATTTAAGAGGCTTTGCTTTACTACTTTAATGGGCAGGTCTCCTTTTCCTTTTTTTTTTTTTTTTTTTCCTTTACTATGTGCAAAGAAAAAAAAAAAAAAAAAAAAAAAAAAAAAAAAAAAAAACCACTGATGGAATTAAAATTTGTCCCCCCCTTTTTTTTTCTTCCCTCCTCCTCAGATTGCAGCTATTCTCAGGAAACGAAAACTTGACTATTATTTGCACAAACTGCTACCTGAGATCTTGCAATCAACTTCCTTTCTGACAGCAAATGGGACCTTGTATATTGCTTGCTTTTGCATTCTAAGGTTAGTATACTGTCATAAAAATTAAATGTTTTTTAGTGGAAAGCTCTTTTTTTAATGTAGCTTCATGATTTATACAGTTTCTTTCTGAAAATAGGCATGTTTGCAATGAGTGGGAGAGAGAGAAGCAACAGTTGGGCCATCATCTTGCTCTCTGGGCTTACCAGTTCACTATGCACATCTTTATTTTCCCCTTTTGTAGAATCTTTTGAGTTGGTAAACAAGTCAATGCATTCATTTTTTTTTTCTTTTTCTCCTTTTTCATGATTGAAAAAATACATTTGCAGGAAGTACAAATATATGCTGGCAGGTACCCAAGAAAACCTGATCTTTCTCTTCTACAAAGAATGTTTTAAACTGGTTTTATTTGTTTTTTTCCTGGTTTCCAGATGCAGAGGCTGTGATGAGTTTTAATTATCCTATACTCAATGTAGCCTTCTGAGTTTATATTTTTCTTAATTATGGTCATAAATGAAGGAAGTCCCATTATAGCTCCTGGAGTTTCCTTGGAGGCTAGTGGAAAGGAATCGTTTTGGTTTGAACCTTTATAATGGCACATGTCTGCAGTTGTTGGGGTGAGAATAGCAACCAGCTCTCTTACTGAGAGGTGACTTTATCTTGAAATACCATACTCTGCCCACAAAGTGAATGATTAAATGCAATTTGTTGTCCTCTGGAGTAGTTTGTTCAGATAAAATTGTATGTGTGTTTCTCTTTCCCTAACCTCAACCATCTCTGCTTATTAGAGTCATTATTTTGGAAATTATCAGTGGACAGTCCTTTTATTCCAAGTTACATGTTTCTAGTTTAAACTGTCTTGTTTTGGATACAGTCATGCTCTGAAAGATGGTCGCATTGTATTCATAGCTGCTTCCAGTGAATTTTGCCAGTAATTTTCAGGATAGTTAAAAATGAAACTTCTTTCCTGTTTATGCACGTGATAATGTCCTAGTTCTGAATTATACAGCATTTTAAGAATGAGGTAAGTTATACTTATTGTAAGGGCTGTTATAACAGAAACACAGAATACTTGAGGTTGGAAGGGACCTCTAGAGATCATCTAGTCCAACCTTCCTGCGCAAGCAGGAACACCCAGAGCATGTGGCACAGGGTGGCATCCAGGTGGGTTTTGAAGACCTCCGGAGAAGGAGGTTATGCATAGACATGCAAAGCCTACAGACACCAAGAGTTTTTGGAAGATATCTGCTGGCAAACCTGGCAGATCAAACTGCATCTGCACGAGGCCTCCAAACTGCTTCGAGAGCTGAGGGACAAGGCTGTGAAGGAGAGGCCCTAGCCAAGGAGGCACAAGCAGCTCATTAAAATCAATTATTTGGGAAGTTCAAAGTGAGATTTGAAATCTAAGTTAAAAAAAGCTCTAAGGAATTTYGGTTTTTCAAGTAATCTATTTATTTTTGTTTGTGCTGTTGTATCTTTGCTCTTCTGAGTTGTACCTAGTCTTCCTTGCTCTGACGTCCTGTCATCTCACTGCAGTGTCAGGCTGTAGTTGGACGTTGCCCTCTCAATATAGCTGTGTGGTTTTTAGTTTTATTGTTTTCAGCTGTTCCTCTAGTGGAGATTTCTGGTTATACAGCAGATCTCTGGGCATATCAGAMACTATGGGACACTTCTTAATTCCCCTAATTACAGGAAGCAAGAGAGGGAAGTATTGGGTACATGCAGGTGCCTCAACTGCTGTTCTTACAACCATGCAGCCATGTAGCAGAGCTGTCTGCTGAGAGCTGTCTGTGATTTTTCTGTTGCAAAGAGACTTCTSTGATGAGTTCTCAGCTGCACCACAATCTCTACTATAGGATCCCCGCAGGGACACCTTGCCTCAAGGGACTTGGAGTTCAAAGATGGGGAAGTAAATGGCTCTGTTCAGCTGAAGTCACTAACAAGACAAAATAACAATAAGGAAGTATTTAGGAAGGCTTATACTTACAGTTCAAGTGTATGAAAGTCCAATTTTAAGGAAGGACCATTTAGAGACTTTATGGTGAGAATAAAATTCTGGACCATGGCGATTGATTGTGATACCTGAGAGCCAATACATGGCATTTTAAACAAAGACACAGTGGGTGATGTGATTATTAAAAATCCTGCACTTTCCAACTTTCTAGTGCTGTCTGAAGGAGTAGTACAGAACTGCCTGACCTGGTCATTTATAGGTTCCCATGTGGCTTTTGTCGAGACTTCTGGGAATCAGTAAATAATTAATCAGTGGATAAAATATGTGAAACAAAAAGAGGAAGAAGTAATCAATTTTCACAATAGAAAGAGGTTGCTAGTAGTGTTCCTGCTCTGTTCTTTGTTCTTCAGTGACCTTAAAAAGAGTCTGGAAAAAAAATGAATGAAGAATAGTGTGAGTATTTGCTTACAGGAGACCACTTAGGACGTTAAAATCTGACTTGTCAGTTTTGGAAAGATCTGGCAATTAACATGATTTGCTGAATTTGATGTTGAAAAGTAAAAAGAAATACTTAAAGGGAAAAAAAAGAACAATTCTACCCATAAACAATGATGGTCTGTAAATTAACTATTTAATGAGGAAGATGTTGAGAGTCATCATGGATAAAGTCTTTGAATAAGTCAGTTTAGGAGTTAAGTATGGTCAAAGAGCATTACTTGAAAAGAAACTGAGAACAAGCCATAAAAGGTTTAATAGTCTGTAAAAATGCATTGTATGTTTGCACATTGCTACTGTATGCTGATACATGTTCTGAGAGAGCTGCTTCCGAGCTCGTGACGTGGAGAAGTCCTTCACTAGGAATGTGCTCCGTGTCTCCGTTGCTTGAGCCATGTGAGCTGCCTTCCCTCATCCAGTGCTGGGTGGGCGGCAGAGGACAGGGTTAACTCATTGCACATGAGACTTCCCTGCTTTTCTTTCTTCTCCAACTACTTTGTGGTTGAGGGAGGGACTCGTATGATCCCTTGAATCCATTGCTCTGTGATGCAGTCTTAGAGACTTTTGACTTTTTGGCAGCCCCTGAGAGTGGATGTGTCTCATTTCGAGATGATTAAGGGACTGGAGCATCTCTCATATGAAGAAAGACTAAGCAAACTGGACCTGTTTAGCCTGGAGAAGAGAAGACTGAGAGGGGATCTGATCAGTAGGTATGAATAGCTGAGGGGAGGTTGTAGGAAGGAAGGGGCCAAGCTGTTCTCCATTGCGGCTGGTGACAGGACAGGGGACAATGGGTACAAGTTGCAACACAGGCAGTTCCATCTCCATGTGAGGAAGAACTTCTTTGCTGTGACAGAGCCCTGGAACAGGCTGCCCAGGAAAGTTGTGGAGTCTCCTTCTTTGGAGGTCTTCCAAACCTGCCTGGCTGCCACCCTGTGCCCCRTGCTCTGGGTGTCCCTGCTGGAGCAGGGTGGTTGGACTAGATGATCTCTAGAGGTCCCTTCCAACCTTAACAGTTCTGTTATTCTGTAATTAGGTAGATCTGTGCAGTCTGGTTGCATACGCTATACTTTGTGCATCATATCTAACTGTAAAGTGTATTCTGGCCTTTTTGGATAAAACCATCTCAGTCCAGCTTTTTGTATGCAGATGTGTGTGTGTTTTCTGTGGAGCTCTAGCCTCCTCAGGGCTTTGGGCTGGTGGAGAGTTTCCTGCAAACCCTTCTGGGCAGGAGAGTTTCCAGAGAGCAGGAGCAGCAGTAATTTGGAAGCCACATGGTGTGAGAAGCTGCAGATCCTCGTTCCTCTTCCTCCCCTGGGATGCTGGGCCGAAGTGGCTGTTGCTGTTTTGGAAGCAGTTGCCTGTTTGTTTCTTCTGCACCATGAAGGAGGAGGTGTTTTGATAGGTTTCCTGGGGAGAATGRCCCCTTCATCTGTTTACACCTTTTTAAAATCTGAGTAAATCATTGGTCGCTGTCTAATAACATAGAAAATACTCATGGAAAATACTTGTTGGCCCTCTAACAATTAATGAAAGAGATTTTCTGGTTACTTTTGTGCATGACTGTCCAAAGTCTGAATTAAGACCTAAATATGATATTTTATTGTCAGTGAGAAGCCTGGCCTGTGCTAGCGTGTCTCTCTGATGCTTTTCCACTAGGAAAATCCACCAAAACTGAAACAGCTGCAAATATTTTCAAGGATGTAATATTTTCGGCAAGAACCTGCCATTTAAGTAACTTCAAGAATTGTTTAATGAATGCCCTCTCCATTTCATAGGTGGGTAAAATTTCAAAAGCATCTAAATCCAATTGCAGTAATGACTTGGGCTGTGGATAGATGTTCTCCTTCTGGAAGGGGTTACTGTTACAGCTGCTTGCAAGGGGCTGTATCAGCTTCTGCTCATTTCCTCTAGGCAAAATTAGTCCTGCTGACTGGGAGCAGCGATTTAAACTGCTTGAGCTGATTTGGCTCATTCTTATTTTTGCTTCAAGTGAATTAGGGATGTGCACAGTGCTCTGTAGATGASTGAGGGTGATCATCCCTGCTAAAGATGTGCCACAGGCTGACTGTGAAATAAGAACTTTTTTTTAATACTCAGTTTTATTAAACAAATGRCTATCGCCATGAAGACACAGTTAGGCTAGCACCTAATTCAGCACCTAAAAATTCAGTTTGCCCATGTGTGGATTGGCTTTAGCTTGTTTAATAGAACTCAACCTTGCTTATCACCGCTGTTGTTCAAAAAAGAGCTAGCTGCATCATCTGAAAAAAGGATTATTATTCCTCGTTCCCACTTTTAACTGTAGAACATATAATAATAACTGTATAAATAACAACAATAAAAAATACTCTACCTATTTCGAAAGTTTAAATGACTTTCACTCACTGGACATGTTATATTTTCACGCAGTGTAAAGCCTTTACTATTTTTTTTCCTGAAATCTCACCAAATTAAATACRTAAGCCTTAGTAGAGGGCTTCAAAACCATGCAAAAAGAAATCAAATTCCTGCTTCTTTCCCACAGAAGATTCATTTATGTTATCTAACAGGTGTGTCTGGTGAGATGTGTTCATCCTTACTAAGCAATTTAAAATGATTTCTCTGAACCTTCATCCAGTCRCTGCTTTCCAAGAGTCCTGGTAATGGCCTTTAGCTCCTCAGCATTTGGCAGCGTCATMCTGAGGAGTTATCCCCATGTAGCCGCGGGTGGAATTGGTGTCACGTCCTTGGATGTGACACCTTTCCGCCTGCGGGTGGATTTACTGTCACATCCTTGGATGGACCTTTCCCCCTGCAGGTGGAAATGCTGTCACGTCCTTGCTGCTGATGCTCTCTTYGCTTGTGAGCTGAAGCTGACAGCGCTGTTCCTGCAGGAGGAGTGGGGAATGGAGCTAGCTATGCCCTGTACAGTGAGGGTGGAAGTAAGGCAATGTGGAGGGGTTACCTTACTTCCTTCTTTCATGCTGTCAAGGAGAATTGCCACTTGTTTTTCCTACCCTTTGTGTTTGGCGTTTGGTTTGTTGTATTTTCCTTCTTTTTAAAGGAGGCTGCACTGCCTTGTGACCCTGTGTGCTGCTTGACTGATAGTGCCTCTGGTAGTGCCACTGCTTGAGCAGCATCACTGTGCCTGAAGTACTGATTTGAGTCAGTTTYACAGAGCTGCAGAATGGTTGAGGTTGGAAGGGACCCCTAGAGATCATCTAGTCCAACCCCTCTGATCCAGCAGGGACACCCAGAGCACGGGGCACAGGGTGGCAGCCAGGGTGGCTTGGAAGATCTCCAGAGAAGGAGGCTCCACAACCTCCCTGGGCAGCCTGTTCCAGGGCTCTGTCACCCTCACAAGAAAGAAGTTCTTCCTCACATGGAGATGGAATTTCCTGTGTATCAACTTGTACCCATTACCCCTTGTCCTGTCCCTGGCCACCGTGGAGTTTGGAGGTGAAAGTGCTCGGAACAGATGCAATGGTTGACACCACGGTCTGCCCAATGTGTTTTGYTTTTCATACTCTGAGTGGCCAATTTATACAAATATTTTCACAAACATAGTCATTATTTGTTTAATTATTTTTCTCAATGTTTTTTCAAAAAAGGAAGAACTTTGATACTTGAATTATATGACCTCTTAAGAGAACCCTGATCTTGCCACAAAAAAATTGATCTGATCTTGCTCAAGAATTTGAGTCTTTCAGTGTACCTTAACAGGACTGGGATTTCACTGTTGGATCGAGAGCCAAGGCGAAGGTTGATTCCTTCCCTTTCAATAAAYGAGTGACTTAGTGTTTTTAGTATTAGTTACTCTGCCTGTCTTCAAAGCATAATGTATATTGCAATAATTTGATTTGATTTTCTGTCTCGGCTCATTTTATTGCATTCTCCAAAAGCCGCATCTTCCTGCACATGTATTTGCAAGTCTCTTGGAAGTACAGCTTCCTTAAAGAAAGAAATCTCTCAAATGAAAGGGACATGTTAGTGTTCAGGTGTGTAATGTTATGAAGCACCTGGGAAACCCATTTGAGAACTACCAAACTGTAAAAATTTACCATGCTGTAGAAAATATACTGTAATTAGCACTTACTTAGAAAGTAAGATGAATGTCAAAGGATATAATTGATATTGATGGTAAGTAGACCTGATTTTATGATAAAATAACTGTGTTGTGTGTCAATTGCTCTGCTGTCTTTGCACGCAACTTGCATTTAACTTGTCTAAATTACATTTTCAGAAAGCTGCTTGGAAAATTCTACTTTTGGTCTCCTGGCTTTGGTGCTGCTTTACCAGCTTCCTACATGGCAATTCTCATCGAAAGGAAGAGCAGGTACAACTTGTGTTTCTTCATTTTCAGTTTCACGGGATGTATTTGTTGTCTTTGCCATTTGGCAAGTCAGTCGTTTTTATTTCAAAATGCTGGAAAACTAATCCATTTGAAATGGGGTATTTTGTACCCTAAATTGAAGTCTAAGAAGACACAGTAGAGAAATAGTCTATGCATCTACAGCTTTTTTTGTTGTCAGTTTTATTTTTCCTTGCTTAATGTCTAGATTGGTTATCATTGCCTAAATAGCCTCCGTGTGTGTGTTATTTTCTTAAATAGTCTTTGTAGTTAGTCACAGGAAAGGAGTTCGCTAGTGCAAGTTACTGATGACATGAGTTGACAACATGACATTAGTTTATATGGAGGAATAAGAGAATTTTGTGTGTGTGTGGGGGGGGGGGGGCGGGGAAATGAATTAGAATTAGAAGAGGGTGAAATGTGGTGTTACCAAAAGCTAAAGTTTTCGCTTAAAGAAAAATGCCAGAGCTCTGCTATCAACAGGAAGGTCATTAATTAAAAGGCTTGTAGTGTGGGAAAGAAAACCCCGGAGTGATCCAGGGCTAATTGGAAGCTGCTGTTTGTGAGCTGGCAGTGAAAGGTGGCAGATTAAACCTTGGCTTATAGAATGTTGGCGTTTTGAAATCCAGCTCGAATGGGTAGCTTGTAGCAACAGTGCACAATACAATGCTCAGTTCCATGAAAACAATGCTTCAATCATGCAGTAAGTGCATGTTAGTCACATAAGAGAACATGACAGGATAGGGTGAGGAATTATTCTTCATCTTAAAAGAAAATGGAAAATTTAGGGGTAGAAATGTGAGTATGCTTTTAGTCACTATGGATATCTGAAACATCCTTAYACAGTCACTTTGGCTATGGCTGCAAATGTATCACCCCATGTTTCCATCTGCCTGCCTGCCTCCCATATAGATGGTGAAAAAAGTATGTTGAGAAATCAGAGAGATAGGGGAAAAGTCCTGGTTTTAGTTCATCAAGATATCCATGGACTTTGGAATTGCAGCTAGCAGCTGGCAGCAACCTCAGACTTAATCCCTTACTCTCTTCCCAAGCGGATGCCCTGTTTTAAGTCCTTCCCAGGCATTTGCTTGCACAGCACCCTTGTCAGTCCTAGACTTTGGAATAACTAGCTTGTAAATCAGGTTTTCCTCTGAGTGTTGCTGCTTGTGTGGGGGAATTCTGCCCTTTACAAATCTTAGGAGAAAAATGGGAAGAAGAGAAGGGCAGTTAGTCTTTCAAAGATCAGTTGGATGCTTTGTGGTTCTAAAGAGGAAACACTTTTTATAGTATATTTTCTACCAGTTAGATGGATTATAATCTGAAATATAACTGTAAATTTTTATGGCACTGGCATAGTAACCCACCATGAGAAAGAAAAATGGCATTAAAAAATGGAATAAGAAATTAATAAGAATAAGAAATTAAAAAATGGAATAAGAAATGCAAATATACCTGGTGAGCTGCAGTCTATTATGCAGAGACTTTTCTTTAGAAAGGACATAGCAGTCCTTTCTAAAACACAGCAGTATGTCCATGCAGTGGACTTTGTGATTATAGATTATGGTTATTCTGTCTTGGAAGGGCCAGTTCATTGGGGTGTTTCGAAAAGGCAAAGGAGTAGAAACAAAACTTGTTTTTGTGCACTTGGGTTTTTTACTCAAAATCAGCATATTTGCATGCTCTGTGATACTGATAGAAAAGTACAAGTCCCATGATTAAGTATTGTTTTGATAGGAATGACTTGTATTTGCACCATTTAAAAATTTGAAAAAAAAATGAATATTTTATATCTTTTGTCTGTTTTTTGAAATTCAAAGTTAGCTTTTCTTTGTTATTTTAACCTACTAAGTGTCATCAACAGGAATGGAGCCTGTTGGGATGGAAAGCTGTGACTCTGAATGAAAGATGATCTTCTGCTGTAGAAGCACTGAGACTGTTAGAAAGCAAGGAAATAACTGAGTATATTTGTTAAAAAGGCTGGGAATGGAGCAGTGGAAATGTGCTTTGAGGCTTTGAAGGCAGTGTAAAATCAATTGTATCTGACTAATTTCTAAGACAAAGTCTGGTAGTTCAGTTAGGATCCAGTATTTGAGGTGTCTGAGATTAATCTTGAAAAAAAAGGTGAAGTTCTCTAAGTGCTTTGCATCCTTGCTAATGCATTACAACATTTAAATTGTCTTTAGCAATACCTAATGGGCAAACCTCACTTTGTTCCCTTCTTGTCTAAAATCTAATGCACTAATGAATCACAAAAGCGATAAATAAACCACACTTGGGTTTTAATGAAGTTAATTGTCTTRCTGCCTGCCTAACCAATTTACTTTTCGTGCCCTATGCAAGTAATTAAGCCAGGGAAGTCTTAGCTGCAACTACTGAAAAGTGCTGAAAATCCCTCTGGGATTTTCCCCCTGGCCCTCAGGCTGCCTCAGTGTTAACGTAGGGGCTGTTAACATGAGAGCGGCGCCTGTCTCGCTGCTCGGGCACAGTTGTGTCACTGACTGTTTTATAAAACCCCAGCTTTGAGGCCTTTGTAATTTGGTCGTAAAATCGGGCTCTGGGCTACTACTGGCAGTGTGTTTTTAGTTGAAAAGTTTGGGTGCTTTTCATTCCCTCCATTATACCAAAAATAATTTGGTATACTTGAATGGTAGGAAAATATTTACAGACTTTGCATGTATTTTAAAAGYGATACAGTGCATGCTGATAGAGGGCATCTGTGTGTGTGTGTATGTAGTGTTCCTGGAAACAGAAAGCTATTACCATATATTGCTTACATAAATACTCTGCTTAGTTTTTGAAGATCAGTGTGGAATTTTTTGCATTTTTGCAAATATTTGCATATTTATTCTTCTCGCAGCACATCCAGTTGCTCTTTAGGTTTCCTTGCTTGACAAAARTGCCCAAGTCTCCCATCCAAATAAAGGCGGAACATGGCAGCATAGCAGTGGCAGTAGGTGTTGTTATGCTGTAAACACACGCAGCCTTTTTGTGGTTTCTGTGGCTTTGTGCATTTAAATACAAATTTGTTATTTTTCTTTTTAACGATGCTGTGGTGTATTTAGACCCGAGATGGCAATTCCTCTTTCTCGGAAGGTTTTACAGCTGTTCAGATTGACATTGAATTGTGAGGAAGCCAGTACATCCCTGTGGGGAGGAAGGGAAAAGTGGGCAAAGGAAACTGTGACACAGCAGCTGCTTTTGCCAGCCCGAGTCCCGTGTCCTGCAGGTGAGAAGCCGAGCGAGGAAGCTCTGTGCTGGGAAGGCTTCTCCCCCGTGCCTGCTGGTGKGAAGGAACCCGAGCTTGTCCCGCTCACATGGCCCTTGGTGTTGGGATCTGCCGTGCAGAGCCAGTAGGGAAACAAGTTACTCTGGTGTTTTGCTTCCCTAGAGTGTTTGTTACTGTGAAATGTGGAGCTGAGCCGCAGCAGTTAAAAGCAACATGGTTTGTTTTCAAATCAAAATGTGTTCGCACTTGGATTACTGGGTGCAGTTCTGGGCTCTCCAGGACAAGAGGGACGTGGAGCTTCTAGAGAGGGTCCAGTGGAGGACAACAAAGATGATTAAGGGACTGGAGCAACTCTCGTACGAGGAGAGACCGAGCGAGCTGGTCTGGTTTAACCTGGAGAAGAGAAGGTTCAGAGGGGATCTGATCAATATGTACCAGTACCTGAAGGGTGAATGTAGGGAGGAAGGGGCCAAGCTCTTCCCATTAGTGGCTAGTAACAGGACAAGGGGCCATGGGTACAAGTTGAAATCCAGGCAGTTCCATCTCCAAGTGAGTAAGAACTTCTTTCCTGTAAGGGTGACAGAGCCCTGGAACAGGCTGCCCAGGGAGGTTGTGGAGTCTCCTTCTCCGGAGATCTTCCAAGCCACCCTGGCTGCCACCCTGTGCCCCGTGCTCTGGGTGTCCCTGCTGGACAACAGAGTGATTGGACTAGATGATCTCCAGAGGTTCCTTCCAACTTCAACCATTCTGTAAATCTGTAATTCTATTTTCAAATGGGTTGCACTTTAGCACCTGCCTTGGTGTGAGGGATGGCGCCCGCAAAGTCTGTCTCTTTTTCTGCATTTGGAAATGTTTTGCTGCATGTTTTGGGAGCTATTCTAGCCTTAATCTCCAGTACCATCCAAAAAAGCAGCTCGGTTGGTGCCTCACGCCTGCGCTAGCTGCTCTGTGGCTGCTGGAGAGAGGGAAGGCCAGGGCTGAGCAGGCTGCCCGTCAGTGCCGAGCTCGCCCGCGGGCCTACGCGAGGCCCAGCAGGTCGCTTGGGCCTGGCTTTCGTGGGGGTTTCCATGGAAAGCTGTGTCTCTCGGCTCCCTCTGACGTGGGGTTGTGGTGGGACCTAAAGGCTGGGAACTCTTGCCAGTCCAAGGCTGAACTATTCTGATAATTACTTGCATAATTTCTCTTTGAGAAACAGGATCTCCCAGCTCCTACTGGGCTTCTCCTGATGTACTCGGCCTCCTGTTGAGGGCCACCCCCGTTTGACATTTGAAAGCTTGTTAGTCTGCGTTGTGTGTTTCCCTAACAGTGGGCCTAAATCACCCCTGACATAACTTTATGTTTTTAAACACGTTTTTCTCCATCCTTTCTCTCTTTCTCTCCCTCTCTCTTTTTTTACGTGCTGTTACAGCATTGCATGTCAATTCTGGAAAGAAATCCTGAATTTCAGAATTGGAGAATGTTTGAGATTGGAAGGGCCCTTTGGGGGATCTATTCCAACCTGCCTGCCCAGGCAGGGTCAAGGTACAACCAATTTGATGAATTGTGGAGTTAAATCAATACAGTAAACAGACCTCAAGCCCTGAACCTGGGATTTTGTAAAGTGTTACATGGAGAAATCACAGAATCACAGAATGGTTGAGGTTGGAAGGGGCCTGTAGAGATCATCCAGTCCAACCCCTGCTCGAGCAGGGCCATCCAGAGCACTGGGCACAGGGCAGCAGCCACGTGGGTTTGAATGCTCCATTCAAACAGACTGAGT